TGAAGAATCTATCTCACGAAAACTTATTAAATATTACGAATACAATCATTTTAATAATTTGGAAGAAATTGGTACTGACAGCTTTGGAAAAGTCTATCGTGCAAATTGGAAAAGCTCAAAGCAACACTCGCGTTAAAATCGTTTCATAACTATAACAATTCCACTTTGAAAGAACTTATTCGTGAGGTAAGCACGAAATGTATAATATTATTTAGTCTGTTTATTATAAAATAAAATCATTTATGTATCAAGTTAACATTTATGATTTAGCTTGAATTTCAACGTGAAGTTGATTTCCATGAAAATATTATCAGCATTTGTGGGATAACTTCTAACCAAAGTAAATCATAATAAAATTTATGTATCGAATTATGTATATATTTTTTTTAATTCAATTTTTACATATTTATTTTTTTTTTTTTTTAAAAAAAAAAAAAAAGAAAATCAATTGAAAAAGTATTGGTTAGTAATGGAGTACGCTGATGGCGGTGCACTTAAAAACTATTTGAAGAATAATTTTGATAAACTTACTTGGGGAGATAAATACAACCTTTCATATCAATTGGCTTGTGCTGTGTCGTGTTTACATGAAGAAGGAATTGTGCATCGTGATTTGGTAATCTTGCATATATTTTTGTTTATTACTGCCGTTTAATAAGTAATAACAAATTATGTATATATCTATAATAGCATTCCGGAAATATATTAATTCATCAAGGCATTATTAAGGTAGCTGATTTTGGATTATCGAAAAGAATTGATTCATCAACCAATCAGTCGAAAATTTTTGGAGTAATTCCTTATATTGATCCGAACATGTGACAATACATTCTACAATATAAACTAAATGAAAAGAGTGATGTATACAGTGTTGGAGTACTCTTATGGGAGTTGTCAAGTGGTCTTCCTCCTTTTTATGTTAAAGGTGAAGAATATGACATTAGTTTAGCTATAGAAATTTCACAAGGACTTAGAGAAAAGGTCGTTCCTGATACACCTGAAGATTATGTTATCATTTATACCAGTAAATATATTATAATTTGTTAGTAGATTCGTGACCATAATATTTTTTATGTTTTTAGAATGCTGGAATAATGAGCCAGATAATCGTCCACCAATGAATCAAATAGTTGATAAACATTACAAAAACAAATATGAAAGAAAATGTTCAAACGAATAAACATGAATCAAATCTTCAACCATCAGAACCACAACTTTATTCCTCTAAAATTAAGAATTCATTACATGGAGAATTATCTCGAATTATCCAAAATTTTGATCAGGAAAATGATCAAATAAATACTTATGAATTATCGGAACACTATAATGATGATGAAGATGCAGCTTTTTGTAATAATAATACATTACATGGTAAATTATCTAAATTTATTCAAAATTTTGGTCAGCTGGATGTTAAAGAATTAAAATCAATTAATGAATCAGATATTATTTATGATGATATTATTGAAAGTTTAACGATTATGAAATTTAATAAGGATGACATATTAAACACCTTAGGAGGATTACAAAGATATCGTAAATTAACTAAACTCTTTTGCAATAATATTAGTATTACTAGCTTACCAACATTACCCGACTCCTTTTAACTGATCTTAATTGTTATAATACTCCAATAACTATCCTACCAACTTTACCCAAATCTTTAACTCTACTCAGTTTTTATAGATCTAAAATAAATAACTTACCAACTTTACCCAACTCCTTAACGGAACTTCATTGCTATAATACTAATTTAACTATCCTACCAACTTTACCAAATTCTTTAACGGAACTTTATTGTTATAATACCTTACCAAATTTACCTTATTTCTTAACGAGTATCAAATTAAAGCAAAGGTCAAGTTTCTTTTGAAGAATATGATAAGCTTTCACATAAATTAAACTCAGAATGATTATTTAATCCTAAGTATCGAAAATAGTAACCATAATTATCCCCTGATCGACTGCATTTACATATTTAAATGCACCCCAGTAAATTTATCTTAACTTTTGATTAAACTATAATAAATAAGTAATAGTTATTGGTTGGGGGTTGAAATATCACCGAACTGCGCAGCAGTTTGATATTTTAACCTCCCCTAACAATAACTAAATTATTATGTAGACGTTCAAGATGCTTATATATTACATAATAAACTATTTGTAAACTATTGTTTATCCTTTTTATCTATTTAATTGCGGTGTAATTTCTCAACTCAAAGGAAAAATCAATATAGAATAGTATTTTTTTATTAACACAGTATTAATCTAAATAATGTAATATGACGGCAAAATTAATATAGTGATATTTGGGCAATAAATAAAATATCTGCATTATTTATGCAATCATAGTTTAATTGAAAAAAAAAATATCATGATATTAAAAAAAGCATGATCCTATTTGGCTGCATAATAATAAATGTTAACATATTTGAAAATTTTGGCATTGTTGAATTTTTCATGCATTTTTAAAATTAAAATTATATTTTAAATAGTTTTTTTTTTGTTTTTTATAACAATTATTAATATTTTCTTTTTGCTTTGCATTATTATCTCTAGTTTCAAATTGTAATAAAAAATTATTATAAAATAATAAAATAAATTACTTGCATATTTAATTTATATTTATAATATCCCATACTTTATCATTTAACTTTTGCACTTTCATCAAAGAATGATTTACAATTCTTCTTATAAAAATACAAATTTTTAACATTCAGATAAAATAACCTAAAATTCAAACATTATTTACAAAGTCTTTAAGTAAGAATATGGTTTAATAATTTAATTTTACAATAGTAATATATTATTGGGTTTTTAAAAAAGGATATTTATATAATTCTTTAAAATAATAGTTTGGAAATTTAATTAAGAAAAGTTATCTATAAACAAGTAAGAAAATAAATCAAAGGTTAATTATACTTAATTCTTAATTTATAAGATTTGTTTTTAATTCATTTTTCTATATTTTAATTATATATGATAGATAAAAAATTATTTGTCTCCCAGCTAATTAGAAATAAGTAATATTTTACTTATTGCTAATTAGCTAGAAGATAATTAATACTTATAATTAAAAAAAAAAAAACTAATTTAATTCTCCAATAGAACTTACCTCCGATCCGATTTCAACCCTGGGCTTCAAGGATCTGAACCTTCTACAAAGGTAAGTTTAGTGTTGGTTCTTTTTTATGATTATACTAAATATTCTCACTCTATTAGGAGTTACCTCCGATCCGAAGATTTCAAGTTTTATAGGTTCTGAATCGGTATAAAAAGTTAAGTGAACATTAGTTTTTATTTTTAAAAAAAATTAAAGAAAAAAAATACTAACAAAAATTTTGTTAGAGCTTACCTCCGACTCAATGCCTCAAGAATCCGGATCGGTCTACAAAGGTAAGTAGTATGTTATTAGTATTAATGTTAGCTTTTTTAAATAATAAAAAAATTATTAATAAATTATTCTTTAGAACTTACCTCCGATTCGACTTTTTCAAGGTTCAGGTTCGTTTTACAAGGTAAATTCGTAGTTTTTTTTTAATAAAAAAAATATGTTAGTATTTTAAATAAAAAATAAAGAACTAACGCATTCTTTTATTAGAACTTACTCCGATCAAACTTTTCCCAATGTTGTAAGGTTTCGGTTCGGAGTCCTAAAAAAAAAAAAATATATAAATTACCGTAAATATCCGGATGATCCGTTTTTTGATCGGATAGATCGGATCCATCCGGATAGCACCTCTAGTCCGGGTAGAATCACTATAAAAAATGTCACGCCGCCTGTTGTGAAAAAAAAAACAAAAAAAAAAACTAAAGAAAGAAAGAAAAGAAAGAAAAAGTAAAAATAAAAATAAAAATGAAAAGAAACGAAAAAAAAAATAAAAAAAAAAATAAAATTAAAATTAAAAAAACAAGCGAAAATACGAAAAAAATCGAACGAAAAAAAAAAAAATATATAATAAAAAAAAACGAAAAAAAAAAAAAAACGAAAGACGAGAAATAAAAATGAAAAAGAAAGAATAAAAAAAAAAGAAAGCGAAATAAATAAAAAAAAAAATTAAAAGAAAAACTAACGAATCGAAAAAAAATAAAAAAGGAAAAATAAAATAAAAAAGAAATAAAAACGAAAAAGAAAAAAAAACTAAACGAAAAAAAACTAATGAAACGAAATTAAATAAAACCACATCCGAAAAAAATCAAAAATTAATTATTCCTAATTAAAACAAAAAATTTTCCGATTGTAATTATTTTTAAAGTGCTGTACTTCATACTTTTAAATGCGGTAAGATCTACATACCTTTGACAAAATGTATTACTATGACATTCTGTTATCGTTATACAGTACAAGATAATTTGAAATAAAAGTTTTTTTTAAAAAAACTTTTTTTTTTTATTATAAGTTATAATTATAACAATGTTTAATAGTAATTATAAAGGTAAGAGTGTAATAAAGAAACTAAAAAATATTTTCACCAAACAAGAAAAAGGAATAAAAGGTATGAAGCTTCGTATGACAAAAATGAATTATATAAATAATTCAGAAAACCCGATGCTTACAATTACATTTATTATTCCTTATATCAAATTTGTTTGTTATCCGCAAGAATATAGCTGGTGGTGAGAATTAAATAAACCTAATCCTAGTCCATTTGTAGAAACAATAAATAGAGAAATATACAAAACATAAAATGGTGAAGCAATAATTAATTTCAAGTGGAATGAATATGGAAGTTATTATTATTACAGAATTTGGTTGTGTTTTACTGCCTTATTAGCATGCTTTACGGATGCTTCAGCATATACTGGAGTTTTAGAATATGAAGAATTTAAAGGCATTAGAAATACACTTGTAATAGCAACAATTATACTTGGATGTATTCATTTGAATTTCGAACTTCGCCAGATATATTATAATCCTACTAAATGGTCTATTGATCCCTGGAATTATTTTGGTAAGAATTATTTATTTATTTCATTACAAATTTATAAACGTAATCGGGTATATAATATATTTTGTAATTTTTTTAAGATTTGGGAGCGTATTTAATTCTTAATATGACATCTCTTTATTGGTTATTTTACCGATACATACGATAATATGCCCTACATTGGGATTTCAGTTTCATGTCTTTTAGATCTTAAATTTTTATTGTTTTTTAGAGCATTCGAATTATTTGGTGTTTATTTTGCAATTGTCGTTAATGTTGCGAAGAAGACATCTTCCTTTTTGGTTATTTTATTTATTGTACTTTTGAGTTTTGCTCATGCCTTTTGGATTCTTTTAAAACTGAGAAAAGAATATGATTTAGATACACCACCAACTGACTATGAAGATCCCAATAATCCTTGGCTATTAACTGGTACATCTATTTCAATATTAGACGATGGAACCATTGAAAGAAGTTTTGAAAAACCTGATAAGAATACAAACATGTTTTCTTATTTCAGTACTTCACTTTTGTCTATGTATTTTTTTTCACGGGTAAATTTATTTCCTTTTTAACTCTAAATCATTAATAATATTTAACTAAATAAGAAATATTTTTCAATTGTGTTTATAGGCGATTCGAATGCTTTAAACAACAGGGATATTACAAGTTACCATACCAATGATGTTAGTCTCTTTAATTATTTCTGTGTACCTTATGAATTTGTTGATTGGTTTACTCAGTAATGCTATTGATGAAGATAATAGAGCTTCGTTTCTTATGCAAAAGGCGAAGGTATTTATTTATATCAATACCTCTATATATATTTTTTAATTTATATTTTTAATAAATATTGTTGATATAGATTTTGGCAGAAATCGAATTATTTTACTTATTTCCAAATCAGAGACGTTGGAAAACCTGGTTTCCTGACGTGATGTAAGTCTTTTGTTGTAATTTCTCAATTTATTTCATGATTATTTAAAAATTTAGTTTAATTTTAATAATTAACTAGATATTATCACGCAAACTTTGAATAGACATGTAAAGAAATTCAGAAAGAAGTTAATAATGAATTTAAAATTGAGAAATTGTCAGAATTTAGGAATGAGTTGCGAGCAAAAACGAAGATGGTGTTGGGTTAATTGTTCAGAATGTACACTCACCTAGCAAAAATGACCGACCAACAATAATTTTGTGATTAAATACCTCATTTTTAAATAAGTATATTTTGATAATTTACATATTAATTTCATATAAATTTTATATTATTAGATAGGTAAGAACTTATATTTTAATATTATAACATT